CGGCAGAACCGCGGCAGATGCAGTAGCGGCCAGGTAAGTACGTTTTCTTTTATTTTTTTTCTTTTTCTTTTTTTTCTTTTACACACCCCCCCTTTCCTATTTCCCCTCTATTATTCCCGACCCTTCCCCTCATCCCCTTCTTTCTTTCTCTCTCTATTCACAAACTCTCCTTTCTTCTTCTTCTTCAACACCCCCACCAACCCTTCTTCCAAAAAAAAAACCTCCATTACCATACCTCCACTCCTTTCCCTCTTCAACTCAAGTAAGTTATTCTTCTCTCTCTCTATTTCTTTCTCTTCTAAGTAGTGTAATTTGTTAAATTAGTAGTTTTACTTAAACCCTAGTTAGAATTAGTGTAGTAAATTGAATTTTTTAATTTCTTGCTTTCTTTTATGCTTGCCATTGTTGTAGTTGTTGTAGTTGATGTTGATGAGGTTGTTTGGTGCTAAATTAATTGGGTCTCCATTGTTAATTAATTGTGAAGTTGTTTTGGTGGGTTGGAGGCCTAAAATTAGCTTTTTGTGGTGTAGTATGGATTGGGTCATGTGTTGGCCGAAAATTGTGGCACTAAGTTGTATATTTTTTGGGGTGTTTAAGCCAACCTAGGTTTGAGATGTTGTAGTTGATGGTTGTTGTTGTGTAGTTGATTGTTGGTATGGTGATAGTTGTTGTAGAGTGGTTTTTGTTGGTATGGTGATGTTTGTTGTAGAGTGGTATCTGTTATATGGTGGTGTTGTATGTCATAGGTACCATTGAATGGAAAAAGTGTGGGGTGTATTATGCCGGAAGTGGTACGAAGAATATGGAGCTGTTGTAGGGGTTGTTATGAGCGAAGTAAGGAGCTATATTTGGTGTCATTGGGTGGTGAAGTCTGAGTAACCAGCTTATTGGCACTAGCTAGGGCATTTGTTGATGGTTTGTTTGATTATTTGCAGGATAAATGGCTCCCAAAAGGCAAAGGCGCTCTGGAGGCACATCCCAACGACCTGCATTTGATGAGTCCAGATTCCAATCAGAACTGGCAGAGGACGACTTCAACGCCAAGGCTACCAAAACTTTTATCCATGAAATCCCGATTGATCGGGCAGCCCTCCGAGCCGAAATAGTGGAGATGTATGAAGAGATACGGAGGCGAGAAATGGAGTTCCAATTTGCTGACCCTGCACCAGTTAACAAGATGCTGGTTCATGAATTTTATGCCAACTGCCCTTTGAATTTGGGTAGGGAGGTGATTGTTCGGGGTATGGTGGTCAGTGCTCAAATTCAAACGATTCGCCGGGTGTTGCGGCTGCCTCCGTTCACCAGTGACGTCGACTATTACCATGACAGGCCCGGGGTGACATGGGAGGTCATGACGGATGTACTTTGCACAGGGGGCAGCCCATATGGATACGTGACCAAATAACCCTCAACTCTAACTCCTTCACTCACCTGGCCAAGTGTTGGTTGACTGTTATCTGTAGCAGGTTCCTGCCTTCTAGCAATACCACGGACGTGAACTTCAATAGGGCACTGTTGACTTGGTGCTTTGTGACAGGGAAGGATTTTGATGCGGCACGGGTAATTGGAGATGAAATGGTCTTACGGGGCCCGCTGCTGACAAAGGGATTCTATTTCCCTTCCTTGGTGACCACATTGTGCTTGATGAGGAACACCCTTACCAACCCTGCTGATGGCGATTTGCCTCCCAAAGCAGCTTTCAAAGCTTCTAGCATCAGAGTGGGCAGGGGCACCCGCACTACAATTGAGATTGATGATGAGGAGGATGATCCGGTCCCTGTTGCACCGTCCAGGAGGTCTGTTGACAGTGTCGGGCCCTCTCGGCGCCCCCATTCTGGAGCAGACCTATCACGCTCACAGTCCTCCCGGCCTATGCTGCGCTCCTTGGAGGAAGAGGTCGCGGATCTCCGCACCTCGGTGGATGGTCTACACACACGGATGGACGCCATGTCACAGAGGTAGGCTAGATCTGAGAGCCGGTTTATGGCTTGGCTATGCGCATTGGGGAGGGCCTGCCATGTAGACCCCAGCACCGTCTCCGACTCGGATTGAATCTCGGGGAAGTCTTCTCACTCTTCTGTTCTTTACTGTATTGATATGACATGGGGACATGCCATGATTTTAAGTGTGGGGTGGGAGACTTGCTCTAACTGTGTATTGAAATGTATATAGCTGTTGTTGTGTTGTAGCAGTAGATGTGGTGTACATATGTGAGTAAGTTATATTAGGAGTAGCTGACTTGACCAACGACGGACACTTGTTGACGGGTCTCTTGAGGGTCAAAGTCAGAATAAAAAAAAAAAAAAAAAAAAAAAAAAAAAAACAAAAAAAACGTTGTAGAGGACTCTCCTGATGATGGACTATGTGGACAGTACTCTTGAGAGGAAGTAGTCCATGTAGAATTTTTTTTATTTTTTCTTCTTTTAGGTAGTGTAGTACCTCCCTTGTTTTTCTTTTGACCACGGTTCTTTTTCCAAGGGTTTTTCTTGAAACTGGGTTAGGTAGATTTTTCTCTTTTACAGTTTTAGGATTAAATGGGTGAAGGTCAGAATATATACCCCAAATGTGCACACTTCAAAAGAAACGAACTAAGGGTGTAAGGTTAAGCTTGTTTGTGGACTCATAATATATGCTTAATTTTTGCACACTTGTCTGGCTTGAACACTCGTATGATTGCGTTTGATGAACTGATTCGGAATGAGTTTACATGCTAAGTGTGTGTGAGTTGTTACTTTGCATCCTATGCCTGCATATGATACCTAGAATTTGCCCTGTGTGTTTGCAAAGCGAAATAGAAAGTCGTTTGGTCTTAGAGATGATTGAGGCATTTCTTTGTGCAACCCTCTTATACTTGAGAATCCCACCTGTGCATACTACCATAGTTACCCCTTTGAGCCTAAAGCCTGTTCTTTGATTAACCCTATAATAATCTAAATCGTGTGTTTGAATAAGCTCATTGTTTGAACCTTACCTCTCTAGAAGCACTTAAATCACTAAAGAATATACAAAAGTCAAAGTGTGGGGTGGAGAGAACTAAAAAAAAAAAAAAGAGGAAAGGGGAATCAAGAATGAAGGTTCTGGTTGGTGAACTGGCAGTGTACAATAAAATCTAAAAAAAAGAGAAAAGAAAAGGAAAAAAAAAGAAGAAGCCAGTTGTACCTAACGAAAAGTGGGGTCACAAGTGAAACAAAATATGGGGTAATGAATTGGGTTGAGCATAAAGGTAAAATAAAAAGAAGTGTGTATTAAAGTGCTTAGGGAGGTTAGTCACTATATCCAAATATATCCTAACCCCGTCCTTAGCCTACATTACAACCTATAAAGACCTCTTGATCTTTGACTGAATGGCTCGATTAGTGGAGTATTACACTTAGGGGCAAGCTTATGGTGTGTCTGTGTGGCATGTGAATGCTCTTTGCTGAGAGTGAGTGAATTCTCTATATATACGGTTCACTGTTGTTGAATTTTATGTGTGTGGAACTTCTCTCAAAATTTTGTTATGTGAGGGCATGTGACTCAGAAAGAAAAAGGGAGTCTTCACTTCTGTTAGAGTAATTAGAGTTAGCACAAGTGTGTCTTGGCATGAGAGTCCGCATCTAAGATATGATTGTGCACCGCTTAGGCCAACCGGCCAACCGTTGATAATAGTAGGTGTGACACAAATTAGGGCAATGCATTGAGCAGTTAGGCCTAGAAGTGTGGTTTAGTTGCTCGAGGACGAGCAAAGATTTAAGTGTGGGGTGTTGATAATAGGTGAATTTGACTATAATCACGCCTTAAATAATCACCTTCTTGTGTAGTTTTTTATGCTAAAAGTGATGACAAAATGCTCTTATTAGTGATTTTCATGATTTGTAGGTGATATATGTATAAAGAAGGCTAAGGAGCAGTTTTGGAGTCAAAAGTGATGAAAAAGAGGCCAACTGTGAAATTTCCCAAGTGACGCGTGCAAAAAACAGGCAGAAGATTCAGAGAACTGGGCCCACCGCGGTTCCACCGCGACCGCGGCAGAACCGCGGTGGGAAGCAGCTGCTGAAGATTGGAGATTCCGCGAGGGTGTTTGGCCGCGGTTCTACCGCGACCGCGGCAGAACCGCGGCAGACCCAGTAAACTTCAAGGACCAAAGTGTCAATTACGGGATTTTTAGACCTAAACCCTATTTAAAACATTAGACTTCGCCCAAGAGAGGCATGTATTGATTTTTTAGGTTTCTTAGCAAGGAAAACCATTGTGAGAAAATACTCTAAACATCTTTCTTCTTTTCTTTTGATTTTATGATGAATTCAAGCTTAGTTTATTCTCCCATAGCCATGAGTAGCTAAATTCCTTGTCTAAGGCTTTGATGGAACCTATTGGGTGATGAACTTCTTGTTTATGTGAATACAAATTGCGAGTTTAATCTATTTGTTCAACTTCGTGTTCGTTGTAGTTAATTGATAGGATCCTCAATTAGCTGTGCCTATTTAGTGTGCATAATTTGGAAAAGAGTGCATATTTAGGGTATTGTTGAACAACACCACTCCTAGATTATTAGAGGAATCTATAATTGCGGGTTTAAAGGCGGGATTAGGAATAACGAAGCCTTGGGTGCAATCTAAAGTGAATTGTGCTAAATAAAGTAAGCTAGTGTATCTCGGGAGAGTGCAATAGTAGATTACGGTAATTACTCGGGAGAGATTTGCGGTAAGATTAGCGTTCATGATTGATAGAGAGGTGTGGGTAAATTTGTATGAGCATAAACAGAAGGAATTCCATCAATATGGAAAATCATTGCCTTAGCTTTTTCTCATAATTGTTTACAACCCTTTTAATTTAGTTACAGCCATTTAGTTACTTGCAAACTAGTTATTAAAGAACACTCAACTGAGAATTTGAATATTTGGGAAGCTGGTTCTGAAGACTTAGTGGGTCTGAAGATAGCGGTTGATAGGTTAACTCTCTGTGGATTCGACCCTGGGCGTAATACTCGGGTTATATTTGCAACGTCCGCAGAGTCCTTTTTATAAGGCATAGTTGGGCGTGATCAATACCTCAATTATAATCGGTTTACCATCTTTCATTGCTTTTCTCAAATCGCCAGCCAAACCTACGTAAGTGGTGAGATATAGATCAAATTCCTTGATATGCTTTGAAGCAGCTATTTATACTGAAAGATCACAAATTATACCTTTCCATATTATTCTGCATTCTCTGCAAAATTCAGTTATTAATTCCTCAGATGAGCTGAAATCTCGTGCCCATACTGGAGGAGACGTCAAAGGTGCACTGACATAAATTTACAAGGTGCATAAGTAATCGGTTGACACAGAAAGCTCAGAAAACTTTGAGTAACTATTCAACAGACATGACAATGAAATAACTGCAGGTGAAATGTATCAAAACTGAAAAATGAAATCTGCAGAGGTAGTACATACTCTGTTGATGTGCGCAGCAATTCATACACCATTTCTGTCTGTAAGGAAAAAGAAATACATTAATGGATAAGCAAGCAAGAGAGTACATGCTTCGACGTCCAAATAAAAAAATTGGAATAAAATCTATAAGGAAGATACCTGCAAGACATTTGGCAAGTTGAGGCGTTGTGCTAGTTGTGTAGCAATAGTAGACTTGCCAACACAGGCCGTACCACAAACAAGAATAACAAGAGGAACTCTCTGGTGGTAAAATCTATGAAGATTTAAATGGGGTGGATATGGTTAAAAAACTTTTCAAATAGGTAGTACCATAAACAAGAATTAATAAAGGTACTCTCTGGTGCTGAAACCTAAGAATGTAAAAGCAACATAAAAAAGTGTAAGTGATTCGAAATTCAATGTGGCAATCTCAATCATCCCATTCCTTATCCCTCTGTTCTTTAAGAAAATACATTTTATAAAAGGAAAGAATGGGTGGCAAAGCAAATACTACTCACCTTGTTATCATTTTATAACGTTTTATATACTCTTCTCCAAAACCTCTCCGCTCCATAAGCTGCATAGGATTAAATGAAATTCAGTGTAGATCTTCCACTCAAACTTTGAAAAACTTCAAAGCAGAAGGAAAGTCAAGGAAGTTTGAACATGAACCAGAATGAGATGTTTATGTAGTAATGAGTAGGAAAATGCTGAAATTGTATCTAAATATTTTCAGCATTTGATCTGTCCTTGTTAAATTTACATGAACTAGAATGAGATGTTTAAATAGTTATGACTAAGAAACATTAAAATTTTATCTAAATCTCTTGCAAATAATCTTTCCTTGTTAAATATTTTCTTTTTAGGCAATTTCGCTATAATTTCTTATGGCGACGGTTTTCATGGAAGGAGCAATAAAACGACATCTTAGCCAATTGTTGATACTCGCTAAAAAGGTAGTTTCCTGACAGAATAACATGTTTCCTTTGTCGGATTGCAAGATCATGCACATTTTTGACACTTTAAAAGCTTTTAAATTAGAGACATGAAGGTTTTTTTTGTCAAATGTGATTATTCATCACCACTTGAAAGGACCATTAAATGCCTAAAGACATTGAGCAATGTCAGCTTAAACTTGATCCCATCAGAAGTTCTCTGATTTAACCGTCCTAACTGCATTTCCAAGTTAAAGATGCCAACAAAACAAATTTTCGAAAACAAGATTCTTAAAATGCGTAGCATAGGAGGAAATCATGAAGTAATATTGGTTGCTAAAGTTCAAAGGAGTTTCTAAACACAATAACATGTTTCCTTTGTCAGATTGAAAGATCATGCATAATTATGACACTTTAAAAGCTTTTTAATTAGAGACATAGAAGTTTTTGTGTCAAACATGGTTATTTAACACCGGTTCAAAGGACCATTAAATGCCTAACGACATTGAGCAATCTCAGCTTAAACTTGATCCTCATCAGAAGATCTCCTGTGATTTAAAGGTTCCAACTGCATTTCCAAGTCAAAGATGCCAAGAAAATAAATTTTAACAACAAATTCCCTAAAATGCCTAGCATTGGAGGTAATGATGCGACAATACTGCTCAATCTTTGAGTCATTATTAGCTAAAGTTCACAGGAGTTCCTAAACCATGGCCGCAAGAGTGAAGAAGATGGTTTTGCTGGCAATTTTTCAGGCTGGGTAATGAAATCATATATACTTTTTCATAAACCGGCATGGGGGGGGGGGGGAGGGTCAAGTTTAAATGGAAGGACAGGAGTTTTATATCTTGTTTCATCATTACGAATAGCAAAGTCAAATTATCAGGTAGATGAAAGAGACTCTCCTGAGGATAACGAAACACAAAGAGCGAAAAGACCATATCCAACATTCTAGAAAAATGAGAGGCATGTGCAACTTGCATTTGCAATACCGAAGTCAGCAAGGAAAAAGTCACATCTCAAGCAAAACAGATGGAATGAGAGAAGCAATCATACAGACGTTACGTGAACATCAAAAAAGAGTGAAAGGGAAACACAAAAGAGGTGATACCTTAAACAAGTTTGCCTCTAAATCTGCCTGAGAGCTGCACAAGAACCGGCAAGCAATTAGTTTTACAGATAAAGTATATAAAACATTGAATTGAGAAGAAGATATGAGTTAGAGTTTCATACACATCAAGAAGGCTGTTGTCAACAAGAAGCTTTTTAAGATCAAGTGCAATTTTAACCGCCACATGATTTGGTATCTGCAAACATGCAGAAGTGCATATTAGCTCCAAATTTCATAATATGAAGTTATAGGAGAAAAGGATAAGGTAGTAAGTCCATTCATTTCAGGAATTCAAGAGACCATGAAGACTAACAAGGGACGGGGCACTTAACCGTCCAAAAATGATCTAATTTTAAGTGCAGCATGCTAAAGTCATCTTATTTTCTGTGAAGTAAGAAAATCGTTGTGTTCATGTTTTGTTGGGCAACAGAGTAGATAATCAACTTGGATAACTTATGTCATGAGAACAGTATGTGTATGCATATGCATTTTGTATGTACATATAAGAATACTCATTATTTACATCATTAACGGTATGTGTTTCAAGAATTGATTTGCCAAATACTCCCTCTGTTCTAAATTTGGTAACAATTTAGCTTAAAGTTACAATTGTACCCTTAATGAGAAGCTTTTATAACCACACAAATACTCTGGCCCCTTTTTGACTTGTTTAGAACCACAAATTTCAAACGTCTTTATTTTATCTTAAACTCCGTGCTCAGTCAAACAGGTCCACATAAATTGAAACGGGGGGAGTAACAAACTATTGATTATTTTAATTTTCACGTGAAAAGTAAGGCGTTCGTTCATATTTTTCATCCTTTGTTGCTTGTCATTCAATCAGATAACTAAAAAAGGATCATCATTTGCTTTTGGAAGACCCAATCACGTAACTTTATTATCTTCCTTCTAAGTAGGGGCGTATTTAGGGCAAGAGATAGGGGTTCACATGAACCATGCTCCTCTCCATAATTTTGAACCTATAATTTCAAAAACATAGTGGGTTCATGGTAGCAGAGTATAGTTAAACCCCTCAAATGTAAATGTACCCATCCTCTTGAAATCTTGGATCTGCCTCTACATCTAAACCTTCTATACCTCTTTTATTCTGACCAATTTGAATTCCAAATTGGTAAAAAAGAAATTTTGAATTCGAAATAGTAACCAAATTGCATATCATAGTTGTTTTATTTCATTTTAATTGAATAGTTAATATTCAAGAAACAAAAAAATCCCGCTCTTTGTAAAACTTTTGAAATGTAAAATAAATATATTTACTAAAAAAAATATTTAAATATATAGATATTTTAAAATTTATCTTCATATATTTATATATTACTACATAAATATATAAATACAAATATAAATATAAATTAGGATTTAATAAGAACTACTCCCTCTGTTTCAATTTAGATGACATACTTTCTTTATTAGTCCGTTCAAAAAAGAATGACACATTTCTATAGTTAGAAATAATTTAACTTTAAACTTTTCATTCTGCTCACTTTACCCTTAATGAGAAGCTTTTATAGCCACAAATATCATGGACCCACTAAGTTTTTGCCTCTAAACTTTTTAGCACCACATATTTCAAAAGTCTTTTTTTTAAAAGTTTGTGATAAGTCAAACTACATC